CATCTTTCTACTCCACTGTGGCTAAATAATCTTTCAGTACATTATGTGCTTGTTTTTTTTAGCTCATCTCTTTGTATTTCATTCTCTTATCCCCCTTACATTTGCTATTACTCTTCTCCATCTTCCATCCCATAAAAACTTTCCTGGTAGATCCGATTCCAGAGTCCCTTCGTGCCATCCTGAAAAAAGAGAAGTTTGTGAAATATGCTTTAATAGCATGCCCTTGCTGCTTATTATATAAAGATATACTGTAGGTAGAATAATGCGGATTTTTTTCTGATATATTGTCTCATTGTGACATCATTGACAAGGGTCTATATTACATTGTTCAATGTTCCTCACATAAATCATCTAACATTAAAATTTTCTATGAGAATACCAACTAGAAAAATGTTCATTATCCTTGATAAATTGGCAATTTTCCTATTATTAAGTACTGAGAGTGGTATGATCAACTAAATTTTCCTTGACAGGCCAGGAACCAATCAAAGCTTAATGGAACCTCAAGTCTATATAGTTTTGGAAGCCCTGTTTAAGAAAATAAGAATTCAAAATTATGAATACAAAATATAGTTCACGGCTGTGGAAGAACCTCATCAAAGTTCAGGGACTTGAAGGGAAAGTTTGATTAGCTACATGGTACATCCACTTCTCCTTGGAACTAAGTTCTATGCCCAACTGCTATTTTTCTCTCCATCATCATTTCTTAATGGACTGGATACCCTCTTGTCCTATTAAAATCTAATTGGTTGGTTGACTGAAATTTCTAGAAAATATGGAAATTATAAAATATATACATATAAACAGGCATATTCTTTAACACAAAACATAAAAATATTCATTTACTTGCCAATCTTTTGATTGATATTCAATCCATTTTCTTAAGGTAGGGTATTAAGTAGAAGTTAGTTAATAGAAAATTTTCTGCAAAATCCTAGATAGTTAACTGAATATACATTAGTTATCATTTCTTATACATATGGATTATTTTAGTACACTCAAAAATAATAGTGGTGAGTAGATATGTTTTTTTAAAAATCAGCAGGTAAAAGTAGAAATGAGTCAGTATTTCAAAGTAACATTTGTGTTGAAGTTAGCATATGCTTTTAAATTTGCATAGGAACAAATTGTAGAGCTATTAGCTACTGCCAATCTGTTTTGTTACACAACAATGAGCAGCAGATAGAAATTGGTATTTTCATCTGACCTTGTGGTATGGAGTTTTGAGAACCTGCACCAGTGCACAGATGTGTACTATCCTTTGAAACCTGCGTCTAATCTTCTGGGCTCATTTCTTGCATCTAGTGCTATCATTTAAAACAAAGATAGTTATTTTTTTCATCTGTGTAGCATACTAGAAGAATTTAAATCAAAGTGAAACACATATACTGAAGGAAATTACTGTCTAACCTTCCATGAAAAAACTAAATTTTGATACCTTACTCCAAATTTCAGTGATTAAATTAATTTCACATAATTTATGTTGATTCATTCAAGATAGAGTGATTTCATTTCTTAACAAACAGAAGATGGTTTGCTTCCTAGTGTTTACCTTGCTAAGAGCTATTGTAATTTGTGAAACCCATTAATAAAAGAAATTTGATTTTATACCATTTTGCAAACAATAATATCATGTTATTGCATGGATGAGAAAGAACTATTAAATACTTTAAAAATAGTTTCTGAGGGTATTAGTCTAGGTAATTATGAAAATACTGCCTATATCTATAAATCTTATAAAGCTATAAAATTAACGATCATAAGTTCTTTTAGAATTAACAATTATAGGTTCTTTTCTGGATAAAACATAATTGTGCATCATTGTGAGCCATAATTTCTGAAACTTGGTCATTGTTTATTTTTTGAATGTGGGATAGCATAAAATTAGAGAAGTACCTGAGATGAATAATGAAAATAATGGGGGATGGAGAGTGATATTATATGTTATAGACTGAATATTTATGTTCCCTCAAATTTATGTGTTGAAGCTTTAATCCCCATTGTGATGGAATTAGGTGTTGAAAGGCTTTGGGAGGTAATTAGGCCATGAAGGTGGGATCCTCACAATGGTATTAATGCCTCACAATGGTATTAATTAATTAATGGTAATTAATGCCTCTATAAAAAGAGACATAAGAGAGATGATCTCTTTATGTCTGCCCTGTGAAAATACAGCAAGAAGTTTTCAGATAAGGTAAAAAAAAAGGCTCTGACCAGGAATTGAATCAGTTTACATCTTAATCTCAGACTTCCCAGCTTCCAGAATTGTGAGAAATAAATGTTTATTATCCAAACAACCCAGTCTATGGTATTTGTTACACTGGCTCCAACCGACTAAGACATCATAATTGAGTGGCTAAGAATATTTGTGTCTGTAGGCCTGAAAAATCTAAAATAAAGAGGAAATAATTGAAAATACATTAAAATATGGCAGGTATTAATAGGCTCAATGGGTCCTTCCCCACTAGTTGCAGAGTTAGAAGATAATTAGAAAATAAAATTAAGAAACATTTTTTTAAGGATTGCTTTTCATGGTTAAGTTCCAAACATAAGTGAATCATCATTCTTAGAAGATAGCATATAGTAAAAATACAAAAAAATTCAAGCAAGATTTATATATGTGATGAATGATATTATACGATTGGATTATTACAAAAAATGAAGAAGTTTGAGGGAATTATATTTTTGATCAGAGCAAGGAGAGCAACCATATAACATAGTCTTGTCAGAGATAGACTATTGCACAGATGAATGGTAATTTTCCTCTAATTATTATGTTTAATTTTTTACTATGACAATATAATTATTTTTACAACTTAAGCTATCATGAAAAATAAATGAACTAAAATATTATTTTGAGTGACTGTAAGTTATAATTGATTTACAAAACAATTCACATTAGTTCTTTGCTTTGAAGAAGTTTTATAAGTTGTAAACACATGTGTATTTAAAACAAAGTTTAGATATTGCAGACATTCATTGTGAGTGCTTACTTTATAGTGACTACACAGGTATTGACTTCATAAATCATGGATCCGATTTTAGAATCTAAGTTTCTATGAAACAAAATTGACAGCCTGTTTCCAATAAGAATAAGTGTGCCATTAAAGACTATAAAACTAATTTTTTAAAAAAAAGTCAGCTTACCTTTGCAGTTTATTCCTTGGATGGTCAGAAATTTACATTTGTAATTCTTACTGTGTGCCTCAGTCAGGTTATGCTGTGGCAACAAACAACATCTCAGTGGATAACACAAATATTTATTGTTTTGCTCACTTTATGTTTCCAGTGCAGATATCTTAAGAGTTTTGCTCTTCATTGTTTTTCAGAGACCAGGCTGATGGATGGTGCGGTGACAATCTATTAAATAAAACGTTGCCAATCACTGTTGCAGCCGGCAAGACAGTTCATGAAGGTCTTACTCTGGCAATTAAATGTGCTGGCCCAGAAGTGACCCATTACTTCTGTTCATGACTCCATGGGCCAGAACTGTACACATACACTCACCTAAAAAAAACAAGAAAAAATGAAACCAGAAAAGAAAATCCCAATATGTAGCCAAGGATCAAAAATATTTGGTGAACAGCACTAAGGATTTCTACACTGTGCTATGGCAACAACCTTACTGTTGGAAGGGTTACTGATTGAATAACTAACTCATTTAGTGCTGACCTCTTCAAAATACAACTATACCTAAAAAGTAATATTAACAGGCCATTTTCTCAGGACTGGCAGAGTAAGAGTAACATTCGTAAGAGCCATCTTCTGCTGGAATGCCTTGCTAACATTTCTGTGCACTTGAAAAGCCTTCTACTAATTGTAAGCTTGGATTAAAAGTGTTTTTTTGAGAGGTTGAATGATGTCAGTTACAAAAACACTTCAGCAAGAGTGGTCAGCTATTGGTATGCAGTCTGTTTCACTGGGAAACAAAGGTCTGGAGAAGGAAATAACACATGCATACTGTTAACATTGTGTTAAGCTGAGAATGATTTCAACCTTAAAAGATGTTCTAGCAAGGTATTGCTGAAAACTCAGCCATTTTAACGACAGGTGTTCTGCTAAAATGCCTTTTGTCTGACTGCTACTAGATAATGTATAACTAATAAATTAAGAAACAAACTGAAATTTCAAATACTGAAACAATTTCTCCAGCCCATTAAGAAAATGAAAGAGAACAATTTTAGGGATGGTGTGAAAAATACAGTATTGTCTGAACTTCTGAGTATTGTCTGCATAGAACGACTAACAGCACAGTTTCACAGGATGCCTTATATTTAATTTATTTTCTCTAGGCTGATGAATATTTTGAAATGAGATAATGTTTTGAGGATTAAATGGTAAAGCTTTTAGTAGATGTTGTTTTTAATATGTCCTTCTCTGTGACACAATGATTTTATATAACAGGTCAGAGATCCAAGAAATACTAAATTAAATAATATTTTGCATAAATATTTCAAACTTTGCTATATTAAAGTATTTGGGAGTCAGAATGAAAAAACATTTTACATTGATACGGAAAATGTCGAGCACCGGGATGCGACTGCTTGCCGCCTCCCCTTCGCTCCGCATCTCCACAGGCAGCGCTGCACGTGGCCAGTTGGAGGGCATGCTGCTAGGGTGGGGCCCCTGAGCCCAAATGCCCCCAGCCCACTGCCTGTTTCCGGCCACGTTGCTTGCATGATCCTGATTGGGCAATTTTTGAATCCCACTGTTGTTGATTGCATGTTAAAGCTTGTTGCTGATTGGATGTTAAAGCTTGATGTTGATTGGATGTTAAAGCATGTAGTTGATTGGACGCTTTTTTGAGCCCTACCAAGGGTATAAAAGCAGGAGGAGAACAAGGAAGTGGGACAGAAGGGTCAGAAGATGCGAAGAGAGCTGTAACACTAGGTGTGTTAAGTCCGCTATGGAAAAATAAAGGCTGTTCTCCGACTCTTCATGTGCCAACTCTTTGTGTGCCGCTGGGTTCTTTCCCTGGTCAAGAGCTGTAACATGATCAGCGGGAATGGCCGGGTGGCGAGAGGAGCCATTACAGGAACTGGAGATTAAACCCAATCAAGATGACAACCTCCCAAAAGCACCGAGATTTCGTGGCAGAGCCTATGGGGGAAAAGCCAGTGGGGAGCCTCACTGGGATCGGTGAAGTCCTGGGGAAGAAGCTGGAGGAAAGGGGCTTTGACAAGGCTTATGTGGTCCTTGGCCAGTTTCTGGTGCTAAAGAAAGATGAAGACCTCTTCCAGGAATGGCTGAAGGACACATGTGGCGCCAATGCCAAGCAGTCCCAGGACTGCTTTGGCTGCCTTTGAGAGTGGTGCGACGCTTTCTTGTGATGCTCTCTGGGAATCCTGCAATCCCTAGTCCCAGCATTGAGTTTTCAGAATTTGCGTGTCCTCTACAAAAGAAAAGATTGCTGTTTTCGTAGTCACCTCCGTCCGATGTACTCTAGGGTCTTTTAGGAGTTTTCTCCCCTCACCATTTCAACTTTTTTGGAATTCTTGCTCTTGCATGCATCTCCCTTCTCCTGCCCCTGCCAGTTCCATGTTACCAGTTACCAGCTTTCCTGAGTGGATTCCTGGTCCCTTCCCTTACCCACACCTTTAACCTCCAGTCTGTTTCGTGCCATTTGGCTCCTTTTTTTGGCAGAACAGTCACTGTCCTTGTAAAGTTTTTTAGATCAATAAAGTCAGTGGCCTTCAAAAAAAAAAAGAGCTGTAACACTAGCTGAACACATTGCTGCAACAATATTGATATTTTTAATGCTTTGTAATAGTAAAGTAAGTCAAAGACAAAGAAAAAGGCACTGTCTTTTGAAATACAACAACCTAATATTAATAATTATGTTTATCATTAAACAAAATACTAATAATTAATGTTCTTTGTATGTTTACTATGTGCCAAGCACAAGCATTATAAATCTTTATATGTATTCACTAATTTTATTATCATAAGAATCCATTGGTGTGGATGTTATTAGCATTTCACAAATGAAGACATAAAGATATAGTAGAGTACTAAAACATTTGTACCGACATTCTTTGGGGATATGGACTTTGGAGACAAAGAAACTGAGATTCAAATCTCCACCATTTACTAAAAGTGGCAGCCACTTTTGACAAGTTACTGAACCTCTGTAATTTCTTCATTTGCAAAATTCACAAGCTTTTGATGAAAAAAGTATAACTAGGAATGGAAATTATTTTGCACACTGTTTTTCCCCTAGTAAGTGTCCAAAAACCACCAGCTAATATTATTATCCTTGTTATTTTTATCATTGGATACAAAAGAAAAAATCTAGCACAATCTCAGGAATATAGTAGATGCTTAGTAAATATTAGTTTCCCTTTTTTATACATCTTCAAAAGTCTTCATAGGCTGAATAGTTAAATGACTACCCCATTCTTGAAATGTAATACAACTAGGATAGGATCCCACAGGACTTTGAGAATATATCTGTGAGTGACCTTGAAATGAAAACCCAGGTACTAGTTTTAATCCTGTTTCTAAATTTAACTGCAACATAGTCTCATATTAGTCCTCTCATTGCCAGGGAGTCTGGTGTTCATTTAACATACACTGGGAACATTTCTCAGTGTATCAGCTTTCAAATCCTGGCAGTGAAAATGTTTCAATGACTATTCATATTTCCTGCATAGTAGAATTTAATAAAAGATCTATGGATTGGAGAGGGGGAGTGAGTAGGATATCAGGGTATGAAAGATTTGTGACAGTTCTGATATATTTCTTTCCTACTTTCAGATGCAAAAATCACAAAGACTTTTTAAATTACTGAGAACATTACAACTGAATGCTAACACTCTTTAAATCCAAGCATCGTCAATGACTATTAAAATGAATGTAGTGCTAAAGCATATTTGAGATTCAGTGTTCTAAGAAAAAGTTCACTGAGAACTAAAAGTTATTCTTGTACTGTCTGATTAAGAATATCTGTCTGAAGAAATAAATGATGCATCAACATTGCAGGCTCAAATAAATTTAATTGATTTGTGTATATCATTATCCTATCTGTTATGTTTATGTTTTTAATTGTCAAAAGCAGAATTTGGCAATTAAAGGCTGGATTGCATATACAGTAGTTAGGGGATGCAGAGTTCAACCAATGATTTATATCATACAGTGAGTGCTGGCCAAGAACATTATTCCTAAAAAATGGAAAAGTTACAGCTTAAAGATCTGCTGACACATTAGCTCAACAAATCTTAGAGGCTAATGTAGAGGTGATACTACACTTAAAAGACTATGTTGGTTTCCAGAGCTGTCAAGTAGAAGTTCCAAAATTTGACTAAAGGTAAACTTGGCTCTATTATATCAGCATAGCAAGTTGAAAAGTGATGTCACAAAAATTCCATTTTAACTAACTTTTTTGGCTAATAATTACCACAAAAATTTATTTTTCAAGAAAGCTGAAGGTGTGTATAATTTTGCTTACTTCTGATAAAAATTAGCCCGTCATATTAAATCATTTTTGTTTAACATTTGTGCTGTTTTTGTTAGAATAAAAGAACTGAATTATAAAATTTAATGATGATATTTAATTCCTTTAGTGATGCTAACAGATTTAAAATTTAACATTTCCATATGTATAGGGGATTTTAGAATTCCTTGTTTGGTATTATCTCATTGATAGAAATGAGGAAAAGAGAATATATATACCAAGCTGTTATGGATGACAAGCATTTTCATTTGCAAAAAAAAAAAGACAAAGTAACAACTTTGTATTTGTTAACAAATGATGATTACAAAAAATATTTTATTTTCTAGTATTCCTAAACTTTGTTTTACTGTGCAAAAGAAATCAATTGAGGCAACAGCTAAAATTAAGGGCTTCACTTCCAGCAAATGCTACTTAGGAGTAAACAAGCCAGTGAGAAGTAATCCTCCCCTGTTTTCCATTTCTTATGTAAAACATTTTTGGAAATAGATCTGTGAGGAAAAGCCCAATCTTCTAATGAGAAAAATTGGGGGTACAACTATATACAAAATTTGAATCCTGCGAGGGTGGTCATGAAGTGGTATATGTGCAGGATGATCCTACTCTTTTGAAAAATAGAAAAAGCTTGGCCAGGCGGGTTGGCTCACACCTGTAATCCTAGCACTCTGGGAGGCCAAGGCGGGCGGATGGCTCAAGGTCAGGAGTTCAAGACCAGCCTGAGCAAGAGTGAGACCCAGTCTCTACTAAAAATAGAAAGAAATTAATTGGCCAACTAAAAATATATACAGAAAAAATTAGCCAGGCATGGTGGTGCATGCCTGTAGTCCCAGCTACGCAGGAGGCTGAGGCAGGAGAATTGTCTCTTCTGCCCAGGAGTTTGAGGTTGCTGTGAGCTAGACTGACACCACAGCATTCTAGCCCGGGCAACAGAGTGAGACTCTGCTGAAAGAAAAGAAAGAAAGAAAGAAAAAGAACTGCAGGCAAGCAGCAGATCCATGGCCCAAGGGGAGTCATGGCTAGCAAAGCAGTCACCAGCCATATCCATAGTGAGGCAGAGACCAGACCTTGAGAGTGTCATGCATTGGAACCAAGGACGGAATGTTAGGGATAATGGACAGTGGATGCCACTCTCTTCTTCTTGTCCTGCATCCCTACCAGTTTCTTTTTAAGGCCTATGGTCAGTGCTTAACCTGATCTGGTTGGAAAAACCAAGTTGTTTTCCCCTGCACTCAATTCCTCTGCCTTACTCTGGTGCTTTCTGCAATATGCAAGAACAAATATTTTAAGAATCTTGTTATTTTTTCAAGAAAAATACATACAAATAATCAAGCATCTACTAGGGTAAGCCATTTATCAGTTATAGCGTACCTTACTGAAAGTGACTTTTGATTAATAGTGACTTGTAAAATAATGTTGTAGTATGTTATAAGGAATATTTGTGGTAAGGCTACATAGAGTTTCTTTGTGAATAGTTCTTGCTTTTTCTTTAGGTACAATTCACTGACATACACTGCTTGACAAGAAACAAGAATGCACAAGAATTTCCCGAGAAGACATTCATATGCAGCATGTGTTAGGTTTTTCATTTTCATTTGGCATTTTCCAACTCAAGTAATTATGTTATCACTCAATGTAAACTATAAAAAAGAAAGTCCTCAGTTTAAAATAAAACCTTGAAGTTCATCTGCCTAACTTTATAGATACTCCTGTCATCTTTATATAGAAGAAAATTATATTTGTGCTTTTACATACCTGCAAATCATGTGCTTCTCTCTCTCTTTCTTGCTCTTACTCCATCCCCATATCTCACTCTCCATCTATCTTTACCTCTTTAATGACTTATTTCTCTGGAATATGAAGTTTTTACTAACCCATGCAATGGTAATGATTGCTGCAGAGTTTATTGTCCTTTTCTGGGTTGTTGCTATCTATGGAGGTTTTGGCATGCTATATAACTCTTCAACAAATATATCTGTTACATAAGTTTCTCATCTCTTTCTCAGGCTATAATTTATGCAGAAACTCTGCCAAACATAAAAATGAAGTGGACAATCGTAATATGAATTGAAAATGTGGCAATGAACACATGCTATCCGTATATATTTATAAGCAAATACAGTATTTCATCAATCTAAGATGCCATTGATTATAAAGCACACCATTATATGTACCACCAGGAAAGAAAACATATTTCCAATTAAATTTGACATATCATGAATTTTAAAATGCATCCGAATTTCATAGATGAAAAATGTGGAGAAGGGAGAATACCATAGAATTGCTGAAATGTGGTTAGCTTATGTATATTGATGTGTCTTTTCCCCTTGTTCTACTTTTAGTGTAACTATAAAGCACATTATATTTACTTAACTGCCTTCTTTCTCTCTTTATGTTTTTCAAATCAAATTTATGTGCAAGTAATTTTGCTAATTCTGCTTTAATTTTAGGATGCAGTTTAAGGCCTGCTTTTGGGTTCCCTCCAATCTATGTCATGGAACTTGGCACAATTTACTCCTGTGGAGTTAATTTCATTTATTCTGCCTTCAGTTGGCCAGTGACATAGAATCACAGGTATCAGAGAGAACTGGTACATGGGTTCAACACTCTGGCACCACTCTGTTATCCCAGATTAAAAGGATTACTCCAAAGTACATATCAATTTTAAAGGTATTTGGACTTGTTCTACAATATTGTAAGGGAGGAAAAGTTAGTCTTCAGTGTCTTCCTTCTTTCTGATAACCAATTTTCATATTTAATATTTTAAAACATAAAGGTTAGAGGGTGCCCTATTATTTATTCTAAGTTAAGCTCACAGTCCCTACTAATAGCTGTGTTTTGCTCATCTTCTCAGAGATAGCAGTTTAGAAATTAGCAAATATGATAATATAATCTCTCCAATAGGCCAAATAAAGACAAGTAGAACTCTGCCCTTAGAAAAACATAATATATTTTTAACACTGGGCTTTCAAAAAGCATTAATATTATTTATCCTTTAATTAGAGGTTCCAAGTGAGTGTGGGTAGAGGCAGGGCAATTTTAGAACAAATATTAATAGCAAGAAAGAGAATATATGGATCAAGATGGTCAAGTAGACACAGGTAGTATGTACTTCCACCACAGAGAAGAATCAGAATAGTACACCGATTCTCACATTCCAAACAGATCATCCAGGAGCAAATGATAGGGAAGCAATGGGAAACACCAAAATTGGGTCTCAGGCCTACTCTTGGGTCTTAGGCAACTGCTTGGGGATTGC